GCATTTGGTTAAGAATTAATGCGAGAAAAAAAAACGTAGCTAATAATAAAAGCATTTTTGTGTTGTTCAAAAGTGACACGTCGCGTGGTGTGTGTTGTGTGTGTACATATATTGTATTTGAATGTTTGAATAAAAATATACATTAGTTGTATTTACCGCCGGGGAAAAATCCGAAAATGAATAAAATATAGCCAAAAAAAGCGCATGTCATAACTTATTCAGCGACAGTTTATAAAGCACGGGGTTTTTTTTTTTTTTTTTAATATTCCCAAAGAAACAATATGAGTTGTGCAGTGTGTGTATAGGGCAAAAACAAGAGCGGATACAAGGGAGGGGGGAGGCTATGATGACTAAAGCATTTTGTACTTAATTGTATGCATTAAAAGTGTATTTTTTTTTAATAATAAAATATATATACAGATTATATGTTAGAATATTGTAAAACAAAATGTTACTATTTATTACTTACATGTACTCGAAGCGGATTTATTTTCTAGCCCCTCCCTTTTGTCATTCCTTTATCCATCCCTGGACTAAAATGTAAGCATATATGTATACTTAATATATATATATATATATAAGAGCACAGAGCTTAAGTATCCCACTCTTCGGTCAATCAATAGATTAGATAATGTATGAGGTTCAATAATAATAACAGAAAAAAATATATATTATATACATAAATAAATAGATGTAATAATAGAATGAAAAGAATATAATATTAACTCATTTATGTATCGTTCTAAATCTCAATTAAAAACAAATGAATTATATTTTTATTAAAAAACAAAAAGCATTTTCATTACAACAGCACAATGTAGAATATTATTATTTATTTGTGGAATGCAAATAACGAAAATAATAGTGTTTCGAGAAATCCAATCAAACGCGGAAGAGACGAATTTCTGTTTTGGTGTAACTTTATTAAATTGTAAGCACAAGACGCAGCGCAGTTACTCAAAAAAAGAAGGAAAAAAAAGAAAAACGCCCAAGTCTTGTAAAATAAAATACTTTGGTCTGTTTTGTGTCGTCCAATGATGTAATTGCACATTCCTTTTTTGATCGTAAAATAAATAACACAACTCAAACAAACGAACGTTCCGGCGAATTCTCAAGACATTGTACATTCTCCAAGTAAGGTACGGCCAAATTAAATAATCCAAAATAAATAAATAAAAAATTGCAAAAGTTTCGGTCGCCCAACGTGGGGCTCGAACCCACGACCCCGAGATTAAGAGTCTCGTGCTCTACCGACTGAGCTAGCCGGGCAGTTGTGTACGGTGGGCGATTGGTTGTCACTTAATACAAGAATAAAACGCTGGAAGATTTACCTAAGTTGCTTTTTCAACGTGTCACGTCATTTAAGTTTTTTTTCTTTCAATATATTTTTACATTATAATTTATAACCGTTGTTTTTTTTTTTTTATAACGGCATATAGCTATAGACAAAAGTTTAAATAAAAAACAACAGCTATATAATAAAGGTAACATGATCATATTTTGACTTAAAGATGTAACTAGTATTATATTATCTTATTATATTATGTAGTTTGGAAGGCAATTGATATTCAATATTGTATTATGATTTATGTATAATGTTACTATATTCAATGCTAGTGATATCATAGATAATAGTGAAAGTTGAGCAATTAACTGTATATTATTACCATTTATTTTTAATATTCTTAAAATTTGAACATGGTGCTAAATCACTAGTTTTTATCCCTATTGACAGACAAATTTTAATTTTTTTGAAATACAATGTTTTGGTGTTTTACAATATTATTGTTTAAAACATATTATTTGTATGCCATTAACCATAATATTATTATGATTATAAATATAAAATAGGTACCTAGGTATTGAATTTATTAGCCAACTATGATGGTACCTACCTAAATATTATTAGTGTAATTTTCGTAAAATAGTAGGTATATCTTCCAATACTTTTGTATAGCCTATAACAGCTATAAAAAGAATAAATAAATAAAATAAAATATGGCATAGATCAGATTAGGCACAATACGATAATTATTGATCAACTGGAGAAAAAATCAATTACCTTTATTATTTTTTAATGATTTAAACTTCATATTCTGAAATATGATAATCTTAATAATTCACTTTAAATTCGAAACATTTACCTAGTCATAAAAATTATGATATTTTTTTATTGGCGTTTTTTTTTGTTACTATGTAATAATGACTATTTTTTTTTTTTTATAATAATAAATTATAAGTAATTAAATTGAAAAAGCCCAAAATGCTTATAACAATAAATTATTCTTTGTAAAAAAAAAAAATATTATTTTTGAAAATTTGTATAAATTCTACGCTTTTCAAGTGAATGTCCTAATGTTTTTTTTTAAATAAAAAATATGTCACAATGGCGCCAAGCGCGTTTCGCGGAGGTTGTTAGTAGACAGAAGCAGTGAACAATATTTTTTAAAAGAAAAGTGTCTCGGACAAAAGCGGTTCAGTATAATGAAACCAATGATGTATGGGCATTTTTTTTTTTTGTAAAAAAAAGAAACGTGAAAATATGGTGGGGAGATTGGCAATGGATAAAAGGTGATATCTCGATAACGTGGCGAAGGTCGTACCAGATTTTCCTTTTCGAAAAAAAAACGTATCGAACAAACTTTCTATAATAAATAACAATATAAACCACATTTGTGTAAATAATATACACACAAATATAAATTATACGCCCGCAGGGTGTTCAGTATTTCGTGTAACGCCTAATTTTTTTATGATATACTAAAATTTTAAAGAAAACAAATTACCTACTTATGAGTAACATTTTTTATTTTTACCAAACAACAACAACACAGTAAATGTTTAATAAACTTCTCAAATGACCAAATGCAAATTGTAGGTAAGGCGCGGAGTCATAAACATAAAACCCATTTACATTTCTGTTTTTACAAATTTTAATCTTTGGCTCCTTTCTCTACCCTCAAACTACTTTTAAAAATTATACACTTTGGCCCTATTCTACAGGGGGTGTGCTTTGAGCCTTTCCCCTGCACCCCTTCGCTCGTTATATTACCCTGTTATTATTGCACGTTTAAACTCCACGAACGGTGTAATTCGGAAGGCGGGAAATGCCGACCGTTTGTTTTTTATGTTATTCACTGTCGGCACGCGATGCAAGACGTTATTTCGTCAATTTCCAACTTGATTATAGCGCTGTCTGGGCAAGTAGAGAGCTGTAAAAGCCCAATTCGATCAGAATCAGCGAAACCCAGTCGGATACTTACCTTGTGCATAATAATACAACCTTACTTGCTTCAGACAACTATTCATACCTTTAAATTAAACATACTTATATTGCTCGACAATAAAATATGTGACAAATAAATTCAGAGGTGTATAGTTTTTTTTATTATAAAAATATTATGAAACACTTATAATATAATACCGCAAATTAAATACAACCAGATAGTGCACCCTAAAGAATAAATTCGAAAAATGTAAGCAAACTTTATTAAACAAGGTCAGCGTGACCAAAAAATGAAAAAAAAATTATCCTTTGATGTACAGTGTGGTCAAGCCCGAACACTGATAAAAATTATGATGATACTTATCACACATTAACGCGGCGGTCATCTTCTTAAGGCTACACCACTATAATGTTATATCTATACATTATTATTTTTTGTTGTGAATATAGATATAATAACACGTCAAAATACTTAATAGGTCTTTACAAAATGGTAGTCACTTTTTCGTTTACATTGAAAGTGACCTTTCTGTGTTATCACCATCAACCATCAGTTATAAACCTAATAAACTAGATTGCCAACAGTGATAAGAATTGAAGTGGACGTCCGCCATTTTTGTGGGATTTAGTGTCTAAAATAATATATATATATATATCTGTAATTCTGTTACCAACTTAACTTAGATATAATTGTTCTAAACATATTTTCATGTGATAAGATTCTAATTCCCACAAAGATGGCGGAAAATTGTAATTTAAAGTATCTTACTTATACTCAGTTTACGTTGTACAATAAGGTGCACCATCTGGTTTTATTTTATTTGTCATTATACCGTATCGAGAAGCATTTCTAACGGTTTTGCGCGCAACGATGCGCTTTGTAAATTACTATAATATGAATTTATTATCGTTGACAACGCATTATGAGATGTCTATAGCTGTAGGTAGGCTTGCCATCCGCAGGTACTTAGGTACCTAAGCGCGATATTGTTTTTCCATTTTATCGGGTGCTCTGAGAAAATCGCAAATGGATGCAGGAAATTGCCAATGAAAAGCTGCGAGAATCGAATCTCGTCACGAGCTCACTATACCTACTATGAGAGAACAGTGTTTTAATTTATAAATTTATAATATTGCATAGCTAGGGCGAATAAATAGCTAATTAAAAACGCTTCGACGTGCGAATCTGGTGTAGAATGAATTTTTACCAGCATTGGCTCTAGTTGACTAGAGACACGGCTAAGGAAGCTCGGGTCTTTTAAAAACTCTGAAAGATCCCTCAGATTTTTATTATTAACTTTACTTGGAGGCTGTGCCTGATTGGTTGCTGACATTTTATTAGAGCCTGAGCAAGTTTAGAAGGATTTGAACTTCTCTAAACCCCCTCTAGTTGCGCCAATATTTATCAGCCACGAATGACTTCCAGTAAACCAATCAATTCTATTTATACATATAATTGCGGATAAAAAAATCATAATCCGTCTGCCGGTTGTAAGCCATCGCGACACGTTCTTCCTAGACAAATTCACAGTGTTCAGCTGAAACAAAGTACAAATGTAGTAAAACATTAGTAAAGTTAGCGATGGGAACATCCGAGTAGTAACAAAAAACCTAGTTTATTATCTCCGCTCCTCGGAAAATATTTAAACATGAATAAGTTATCTCTTATCATTTATTTCTTATCTCTTATCTGTAATCTCTTATATGTGATATCGTTCAGGAAAAATTCGATTATTGTTATTTTTTTTTTACTTCAACCCTTTTTGTGTTTCAGGCGATGGCCAAAATACAAATTCTCCCGGATTCGAGTTGTTCGATTCGGACAACGGTCACGATCTCACGCTATCGCCTCAGACGTTTACGGCCAACACAACAGCCGACTCGTTTTTGGTCAACGACAACTCTAACAGCATAGGAATGCCCGTCAACGAGTCTGACACGGGTAAGTTTTTGACATATACATAATATATATATATTCGTTACATTGGGAATCGTTAAAATAGGTATTTGTATTAGGTATGACCGCATATTCGGCGTTTGGTGGTTTCAATAATAAATTGTCGTTGCCAGACGGTGTGGTTTTATTTTTGAAAACCTTTGATAATACCTACATAAAATGACAAAGAGCCGAACAACTACTGTATGGGATATGAACGGAAATATGAGATTGACTTTCCATACTAAATCCACCAACAATGTATTGTCGCAAAGCATCCCATTGTTTTCTTCAGACAAAACTCTTAGCACCGCTCGCTTTCCCGGTAGACTCTTCTCGTTGTTATTATATATATATATATATATATTATAATATCGTTTTGTCGTCAAGACACCCTAAGGCGGTACACTTCGGAGGAAAACTTATATTATGATATAATTTGATTGAAGGAAAACTATATTCGTGTCATTCGTATTTGCGCCAAATCAATGAAATCAATAAACAAAAGCACTTAAAACAATTAATGTTCAAAAGCATTTCGGTGTAGGTTACATTTTCATAAAACAAATATCAGAGATTACATTTTGAGAAGCAACACGGCCGTTTGCCTAGGGTTAAATATTAAACGAAATAATAAAATACAAATTTTATTTAAAAAAAAAAAAAAAAAACTCTATATCCAAAATGTATTTTTTGGTTTAATAAACGTTTAATATTATAAACTCACATTTTGTTGTCAAATTTCATAGAAAATAAAAATGCTACGTCACTTTTCCATGATAAATTTTAAAATGTTATCACTAAAATGTAAATTGACAAATTTCAGGGGTGATAACACAGTAGTATATATTTGATAAGCCGAGTTCAGTGGTGATAACACGCAGTAATATATTTGATAAATAATGGAAAAAACAATAACCGCCGATGCTAGTGGACATTTTCATATATTATTACAATGTTAGGTAGGGAAACATATGTAAAATAACAATTTGGATCGAGATAAACACTTTGTAATTAGTACACTAAAATGAGTATAGTTGACCGTGCATTGGGAAAGGACTAGAACGGGTGCTTATTTTCTATGAATATCGTAGAGTTAGTTTGTGTTTAGATGCCGTTTTGCTCTTTATATTCTGTTAACTTAAACTTTTAGAAGCGTGTGAGTGACGTGTTATTATCCACTGGGCGTCACTTTAAGCAGGTATAGTATACAGGAATAATATGAGAGATTTTCCCCTCGACTCTGCCACGATTTTGCTACGAATATAGTAATAGCAAATAATAATAATAATACACACACATTTATAATACAACATAATAATATATACTTGGAAATCTATATAGGTACTACCTTTCTCCATAGTGAGCACCCGGTGCGTTTGATTACACCTACCAGTGCGCTATCCACGTGCACCACTCAAACACACACACACATGATAAAGCTCTAAAACAACTGCCGGGGGAACGATAAATATATTTTGGGAAAGTTTCATTTAATAGTTTCCAAACCACCCCCAAAAACACAGCAGTGGTGGCAATGATTTAGCCTCACTATGGGCCGCCAGACAAAAAGTCATAATTCACGGTATTGCCAAATGTGCAGTGTTCTGTATAGTGTAGTGTATAGCTGCACGTTTGTAGCTTTATAGGTTTCCGAAAAGGCCATTTGCCTTTGACGTCTTGCGAAACGTATGTGACTCGTTGAACTTTCAAGTCCGCAAAAAAAAAAATAATAGTAATAAAAAAGACCAATACAAAAATGTCTAATAGACGAGAGAGTCCAAAATAAAATAATTATCAAACACTAAAATAATTGTGATGTTTGATACTGAATTGTAATTGTAAAGCAATGGTGTGGTTAAAAATAAACTTGACATCATCAATAAACCTTCTTTTGGCAAGCGAATCCGATTTTACCTCAACCGTTAAGTCCTATCTATATTCTTGTATCCAGCTTACCCAATTTGAACTTTCTGTAGATTTGTAGATCGCCCACTATGCCCCAACCCCACTGTACAAATACCTATAATAATGAATTGGGCTATTATTGTAAATTCGATTTTTCTTATATCACATGCGGATAATTGGCTTTGACTAGATGTCAAGGCCGACTCTCCTTCAACCGTTTTGTGATGAACGATGTGTGTGTGTGCTTAACCGTGTCCTAATGCGATGTTGTTTATATATTAAATGCTGAGAAGTGAATCCTGGATGACAGCTCGGCGAATTCAAAATCCCGTGTAAGCTTTAGACACATGTAACGCGCCGAACGTGGGAGCAATTTAAAACCGTTGTAATTCTTATTTATTGGATGTCGAAACTCTACACGGATGATAAGGAACGTTAAAAATGTATAAAGCTTGTATGGATAAAATCAACGCGTTCACTAACATTTGTCTCGCTGAATGTCTTTGGAAACAATTTACAACAGAAAAAAAATTGCTCTTATTTATCAAGTACAATATTTCTTTTGAAAACGTCGCCAACCGTTTGACTGTGACTTATAAATAATATTATTAAACGCATTTTCTGATCAACTTGATCATCACATAAAGACATCTCATAATATTAGCAATAATTTTGTATGTACACGGTATAACGTACACAAGCGTAGCGCACCCTTCGCCTACTCGCCCTTAAGTTATAGAAGTTCAGCAGATTCTTGTTAACTCCTTCGGGCTGCTGGTGTAGTCTACACGAGTAAGGCTTTATTTTTTTTTCATCCAAATCCCACGAACGCTTAAAGGGTTACGTTCTCAGAGGTCTGAACTTCAGCCAAGTTTTCTTCGGTAACTACGCGGCTAAATCTATATGTTGTTTAAATACCGTGTTCCCTAAATTACTGTGTATTAGTTTTTTTTTTTTTTTTAGTTGACGTTTTCTACTTAAACCGTGGCAGCAAAATTTAAATGTTAACTCTTGGGGGAGGTAAAAAACGAGTGGCATCCCCTTCTGAACACGACTGGTAGGTGCTGCTGTAAAGTTGTGTGCACGTTAAAACAGGTCACGTAGAATGGCGCAAAAGAGCGTGCACATATAGGTATATACACACTTGTGTGCACACACAACGCATGTCTTTAAGTTTAATTAAACGACATCCGCCGGAGTGGCAGAGAGCAGCCGAAGCCCCTTCGCTCCCCCCTTTGGAAGAGGAAGAGTTTGGATTTACAGAGGACAGAGAGAGGCAAGAGGCAGAGGTGTATACTCGAGTCCATTGTCGGATTATTCAGATTTATTTAGGTTATGCGCCAGCTTAATAAAGGCGCAAACGGTAAACAATGATTACCGACTTGAAAGTTTAGCGACTTGGAAGCTCGTGCTGCGTCGTTCGTCAAAGGCCTTTTATTCCATCATTTGAATATTAGGAGTACAGGTACTTATAGACTGTATTGTAATGTCTGTAATTCGGTTGCAAACAACAGAGAATACGTTTGGGCCGTTTGAATAGTACACTCGAGTTTTCAGCCGACAATATTGCTCATATATATATATATATATATATAGATAATTATACCGTTTTATGTCGACCATATTACCTATATTGTATGTTGTATATATTATAGAATTCGGTTATTTCGTAAATTCCCCAGTCGATTCAATGCTCGACCCAGTTGAATCCGTAAGAAATCAGCTAGCAGTGCTTTTAATGTAATATTGTGATTAATTTAAAGTTTCTTTGCAAATTCTTCGACCAAAAGAAATCAAATTACGTTTAACTGGACGTTCAATACAAAGTAACGACTTACGCTTGCCTTCAACTTAATCTGATACATAAAGTCGATTAAAATTGATTTCCACGCGCAATTAAGATGTTTAACAAAATGCTTTTGTTTTACGGTTATTACCAAACACTAATTAGGGTAAACCATGAAATTAGTGCTGTAAGTATGAATATGATTTATAACTAAAACAAAGATGGCAGATCGTTGACGTGCGACGACCTTGAAATTGCTTATACACGAAAATACTTCTTCTCTGTTGAATATATTAATTTAAAATTTATATATTTCAAGAGACGCCTCCCGAGAGCTGTTTTGGTGATGTATAATTCTGAATAAAAATATTATGAGATGCCGAACTCGGACGGACGTTAAAACCGTAAAGATTTTAATTCAACGAGCTAAGACGAAATCCGAAGGAATAGCTCTGTTTTTCTTCTTTGTTTTAAAATTCTATCGGTTTTTTTTTTCTTATAAATTATTTATAAGCGTACATACTCACAATAACAAAATCGTTGAATAATATATATATATCTCAGGAATAATGTATAAAAATGACACACATATATAATAATAAATACATTGTATTGTATCGTATTAAACTATTTTTTTTAATTGTGGCACTCGATTTAAAATTGTAAGAATATATTTTTTAATTGGACAAACATAATGAATACCTATTTTATAGCAAATAATAGTTTGACAAAAATCAAAACGTGACCCCAATATAACCGATTCGAATATGTCTGGAAATCGTTTCGAGCAGTCCTTTGTGAACCGTTCGACCGGTTAATAGTCAAGATGTTATTTACGCATTGCGCACACAAAAGGAGAGACCTAGCACGAAGAAAGTATAATTAGGTCCTTTATAGTAGTTCCGTTAAGGGTTCGCCGGACTTCCATGGCTTTGACCTGAAGTTAATGGGACCCTTTAGTTGGTTGGGGACAGTGGGTTCTGCCACCTGCCACAATGGGCAATAGATCTCTTTTTAGTCACCGGAGATCAAGCGGAGGCTGTACGAAAAAAATTTAAGTTTACCTAATAAAAAATATGATAATTTCAACTCATGATGCACCGTAACAATGTGTCATACAGGAAACAATATTAACTTTGAGAATATCACACCGTTTGAAAGTAGTTTCACACAGTTGTACTTTGGTTTATAAAATAACAATTTTTCTAGTTACGCCGAAATTATGTTTTCTTATTACAAACGTTTATAAGAAAAAACCCCGAATTGACCCATTGTTGTAATAAGCGTCTCAATTGCCATTTCACTTATTATA